ACCATTCAATATCTGCACTATCTATTGTTTTCAATAGTGCTAGCTGCCAAAATCAGGAAACAAACGCATTCATTGACAAATGTAGAAAAGAACTCAGAATACTACGAAGACAGAAAAACAAGTCTGTGTGATTATCAAGACAAACATCATTACCCATTCAGCCACTTTACCTATACAGGACTTAATGGGGAAAAAAAGAAACAGCCATTAAGACATTTACATACAAATACAGAAAGTAAAAAAACGTATACAAGAAATAAAGACCTGGTTCATAGCAGAAGCAAAACGGATAGTGAAGTCATCATGCTCAGAACGAATGGCTCCAATGTGATTAATGATCAAATAATGTCGCTGATAAGTGAATCATGTCAAGGAAATTGCAACAAAGATGACTTAAAACATTATATCTTTTTCGTATGAATCAGTGTAAACATTATATCTGTAGAATCAAATAAAATTATTAAAAAAAAAAAAAATGGCATGAAGGATATTCTTGAACTTCACGGGGTGGAAGCTCATGTGGGGCCGGAAGACTTAGCAAGCGGGTTTGTGCAGAGAATTTTGGGAAGTACAAAGAGAGCTCCTTCAAGATTGCAGCTGGTGAAAGATGAAGATCTGGGAATGCAGGTATCACTGGATCATTCTGCAAACAAATAAATATAAAATATTTATTTCTAGAAGCTTGGTTTCAAAAGGAAAAGAATCTAATATAATACATACCTTAAAAATAGTAATGAGTCTGTTCATTTTCACCCTCTTGTTCAGTGACTCGCTATCTTTTTCTGATGATGTTGCTAAGACAACAAGAACAGGGAGAATGCGAAGAAGCACATGTCTTTCAGGGAAAAGAAGTGCAAAATCCAACTCCAGGCATTCAGCTGCATACACAATCAGAACTTGGAGAATGTCTTCCACACTATCACAGGTCAAGTCAAGGAACTCAAAAGAACAAACTTGATAATAATAATAACAAGCTCACAACCCTTAAATCAAATGTGATAAGATAGCCTAGTAGGATACTTATTTACACGAAACATCTCAACATGCAGGTTCAACAGTATGGCCCACCTTGTGCTCAAGAAAATCTGCAAACAACTCAACAATTACTTCATTAAGTCAACTTATCAAATCGTCCCTTATAATGTAAGCACAAGCAAAAACCTGTAGATCATCTAACTCCTCTCTCATTGAATCCGTGTCTTGCCACTGAATACTAACTTGAGTAAATGTCCTGACAATATAAAAAAGATTTCAGTCGACTTTATTCATAATTTTTGGAATAGCATGATAAATGATAAATACCAAGCTTACCTTTTATACCAAGAGAAATCATTAGGTATACTGGCTTTTGCATTTTTGAGATGATCAAGTTGAACCAAAACATCAAGTAATTTCAACATGGACCAAAGATGAGTTACAGTGGGCCCATTGATGCGTCTTTCAGGTCTGGAAAACCGTTGCATATCTGCTGCTAACTAAATTAGAAGGAAAAGTGGTTAGATGGCAACTTGGAAGAAAAGTTGAATATAGGGGCAATATTGGAACATGATAAAATCATGGCAATGGCACATACTTTAGCTGCAGCTGATGCTTGCCATCTTTGTATCTCACGAAGCCGACTCATTTCCAAGTCCAGTACTTGATAAGTTTCTAGATACAAATCAGCCTGGCTCTGCTTCATAGAATCTGGAAGCTGGTATTATATTTTTGCATTATATCAAGTCATTATAAAAAAAATAATAATAATAAATAATACTTTTCAAGAATTTTCTTTAGCAAACCTGAGGAAGTGCTTTGACACAACTCCTGTATGCATAGAGGACTGATACCATTTCCCTGCCTTCTTGGATAAGAGTATTCTACAAATATATAAGAAATTACTATATAGAGGTATTAACAATGCAATGTACAAAAAGTTCTAGATCAAGTTAGATGAACTTAGATTATAGCCAAATGACAAATATATTGGGAACATCCATTTCAAGATTCAAATAGAAATGCTGGAAGAGCAACATACCAGTTGATTTAGTGCCTTTGTGTCCTCAGATAAAGACAGCCGATATGCATGGACATCGCTGTACTCTGCAAAAAAGTGATGAGTATATTAATTGACTATAAAGGGCATAGAATAAAAGGATCTGAATTTGCATCTCAAAATGAAGAAAAAAAACAACTCATACCTATTGGACTAATTGTTGCACCTCTTTCAGATGAAACCCACAACGCTGGGCCTTGCACCTCTGGTTGATCATCCTACAGTTACAAAGAGTTTGAGAGATAAACATATGCAACAATGAATATATAGATATAGACAATAAACCTAACTCACTTAATACATGAAGTAACAAGAAAAAACAAAGAAAATGTTAACATTTTAGGTCAAGCCATCCAACTTCCAACATCGAGTTTGCTAATAGCTCCACAAACATTCAAGAAAAGACATGATATCTACCTCAAATTGTATAAAAGATAACAGATATGTGATATAACTGATACTGAATTAGCAACAAGATCAATGTCAATTTGAACTCAAAATTTGATTATAAAGGTCGAAAGGAAAATAAAAAGAAAACGAATCTACGTAATGTTCCATAGCATCTAACATCAGTTTTACCAAGCTTAGCTATTCAATGCAGTCTTTTACATACATACATACATACATACCTCCAATGAAAATGTCGAAAGAGCAGCAATTGCTTCTTCAACAGGAACAGCCATGGAAATCTACCTCCACTGAGCGTTACGATTCTGTCAAAAGATGAAAATTGAAAACCCTGAAACGATTACTGAACAGTACGCCGCTGTCGCATTACAATTTGAGTGGTCCAATCCAGGCATTCGATAACAATACGAATCAAGTTAGATTGACAGTAGATACTTGCTATTACCCAATGAAAATGAAAATTCGTTGAGCTGCGATTAATATCTGAAGAATATGGAGGAAAAGATCGAAGTATTTGCTTCTACGGATTCTTGAAATAGAAGTTAAATGACGACGTGGAACCCATTTTCAACAACTTTAGGCTTTTAGCTAAGAGTACTTCTGAAGACAACTTTACAAGATCTAACAGACGAGGATTTTAACAATTTCCTTCAGAGGTGGTGGGTGTGGGTGACAAATTTTTCCCCAAAATTGGCGCAAGTGAACTTTCTTTAGACTGCACTATCTTATTAAGTTCCCTTTTGTCCCGTTGACATATCTCAAAACATAGTGCAATATTTGAATGATATTATTTATGATAAATTGATTGATAATAGAAGTGATAGATTTTGATGTCATTTTTATCCTAAAAAAATCTAAAGTGACAACAAAACAATCCAAAAAAAATACTAACTTTATGTTTTTTATAGTGTTGGGTATAACCGTATAGCATAACAAAAACATACCTAAAATACTTTGAACGAATATATATATATATATATATATATATATATATATATATATATATATATATATATATATATATATATATATATATATATATATATAGGTTTAGGTTCATTTGAGACCATTCTAATTTTGTGAGACCGTGAGACCAAATCTAAAAATAATTTTAAAATGCAAAATAAATGGAAAAATCCAAAAATTCTTTTTTTAAATATTATTTTCGGAACTTGAATTAACTAAAAAAAATATTAAAAAAATAAAAAAAAATCTGTTTTTTTTTTTTTGAAAAATACGTGAAATATTCTAAATAGAATATTACACTGACATATTCTAAAAAATAATTTTAAAATGTAAAATAAATGGAAAAATCTAAAAATTCTTTTTTTAAATATTATTTTCGGAACTTGAATTAACTAAAAAAAATAAAAAATAAATAAATAAAAATTCTATTTTTTTTGAAAAATACGTGAAATATTCTAAATAGAATATTACACTGTACATATTCTAAAAATAATTTTAAAATGCAAAATAAATGGAAAAATCAAAAAATTCTTTTTTTAAATATTATTTTCGGAACATGAATTAACTAAAAAAAATTAAAAGAAAATAAAAAAATGCGTCTCACGGTCTCACAAAATATAGGTGGTCTCAAATGAACCTAACCCTATATATATATATATATATATATATATATATATATATATATATATATATATATATATATATATATATATATATATATATTAATGGATATGATTATTCTTGCAACAATGGAAGTGGTGGTTAAAAATCTCAATTTTAAGATCTTATAAGTGAAAAACGATCACGGTCACACTATGACTCGGATCTCACCTCTTTAGTTTTATTGTATAGCCAAGTATCAAAAATTTGTATATTCAACATAAAATCGAACATCATATGTTGCAAGAGCATCACTATTTTTTCAATTCGTGACGACTTAGATAATGCACACCCATTATAATCTTTTTTGTGATCTTATGTCTTACTTGTACATGATCAAAATGATCGTATTTCTAATTAAGATGTTTGATTCTTAATGTTTATGGATTGTAGCAACAAAATTATGGGTAAAGCTTAAGAAGTTAAAGTTGATTACATTATCTTGCGAGCAAATATGATTATGAGTTTATTTTTGTAAGATATTACTATCACGATTTTGCAAAACGTAAAAACGATTTTAAGTAAGATTCCAATTTTGACAACTTTGGATGGAATAGTTGCAAAATGAAACATGCATTAAACAATGTGAGAATACACACCAAGTTTGCTTCATATTATGATACTGTGAGTAAAAATATATAACCTTTTAGCAGGTCATTTCATTTGAATAATGAACAAATTTGATAGGCAGCTCGATAAAGCCAAAAAAAGACGATGTTGCATGAACCAAAGTTAATATTGGATTCAAACATGGGAACATATGTTCAAGCTACAAAACACAAATTTTAAAGATGGTTGAAGAACAACAATACCAATAAACTCCTACTATTAATGATCTTGGAGGATGTGAATATGGATACCAATTGTGTGTTTTTATTAGAACCAGTATTGTAGTATGTATGCCACTTGTGTAATTTTATTAGATGGCTAGTAAAATAACAACAAATAAAGCAAAAACAAAATAAAATATTATTGAATTCAACTATAAACTGAATGGTAAACAGGTTACATATGATACTGAAATAATTTAGAAAACAAGTGATAAACTTTATATATATCTTAAAACCTCACCCCTCCTGTGGTTTGGTCAACATATATTTACTACTTGTACAACATTGTGTAGCTAACAACCAAACTATACCAATACTTGATTAAATCAATCATAAATCACATCTCAATATCGTCAAGGTCTGGCAATGGGAACCTAAGTATTGCAGCAATTCCTGTCAGCTGTGCCAGTTCTGTAAAATCATGCAAAACCCATATTATATCCTTCATGTTTCAAATTAAATAAAAAGCAAATTACATTTTGGTCCTTGAGGATAGCTGTAATGTGCTCAATAAAAAGAAACACACTGTTAAATGGGATAAAAGATAAATTGGATAAAGAAGTACTTACGCTCCCCAGAAACATGCATTGAAGAGAAGATATGAGCGGTGCCCCCAGAGTCTTTGACCGTGTTGACAAAATTCACATATTTTTGCCTTGTTGCTACATCAGAACTCCTGTAAGCATACATTTAATAAAACTCTGATTATATTAATCCCTTTAAAATAAGAAAATTTCAATGAACATGGAATAAAGAAGAATTACAATGAACCAAACACTTAAACAGTAGGATTGTTTTGATTAGTTTTTGAGTAAATTACAATTTTGATCTCTGACTTTAGCTGAATTTTTCGGTTTTGGTCGCTAAAACAATTGGGTTGTAATTTTGGTCATTACTTTTGGTCCCTCGGTCATCTAAGTTAACAGTCCAACTGTTTATCTAAATGCCCATTTTGCCCTTGGACAATAACCAAAAAAACAGTATACTTAATACGGTGCAACTGCGGAGAAGTGTATGGTTTATATTTGTACATGTATGTTCTTCAGATATAACATAGTTAACAAAATAATATATTTCAAATATTATATATATATATATATATATATATATATATATATATATATATATATATAAAAGGAGTAAACTGCATATTTGGACCCAATGTAGACTGTTTTCTTCAGTTTTGGTCCATGGACAAAATGGCCATTTTGTAAAAACAAGAATGGTCTATTTGTTAAAACCCCTCCAAAAAAATTGCAGGTTCAGTCGAGCTTTTTCTTTTGTTTCAATCTCGTCCGTAAGTTTGGTTTTTGTTTAGGTATGGATCCCAGGCCCATGTTAAATGACCTTCTTACCCTTTTCAAATATGTTTTTTCTTTTTCAGGACATGATTTTACAGATTCCCATTTCCATCTTCCTGTCAAATTACTATTTAATAAAGATGCAGTGACACGCTTACATTTATTTTTGCAAAAAACAAAAAACCCAAATAACCCCTATTTAAATCGACCTAAAAAATGTTATAAAAATTAGAAACCTGAAAAGGTCATCAGTGATAAGTAATGTCTGAACAGCCATTCTTTCATGGGCAACCTCAACATGCTTTGGTCCATAACATGCACGATGTGGATCCTGCAATAATATCAAAATGACTATCTGCATATGTTTTAAGGACTAATCTACAATACTGCCATGTCATCAAAGTTGGAAACTTACATTAGTAAGCATAGTGAAGAAATCCTTGAGAACTCGCACCTCTTGGGCTGCTTTTGTATCTTTGATAATATTCATCACATTTGGAGCATCAAGAACCTCTCTTAAACTATGTCTGTGTAACAAACAAAACAACAAATGTTACTTAAATATGACATTAAAATTTTTGAAAAAATGAATATAAGAAAAATCCATACTTGTATCCCGAAGTGGAGTGTACAAGAATGATACGTGATTTGTTCTCAATTATGTCCCTCAAATTTCTCCTTTCTGCTTCCAACATTAAATGCCGATGAAATTGATCCTTGCTGAATCCTGGACTTGCAATTACAGCACATCGAACAACCTTGAAGTCAATATGCTTCACAAATGCCTGCAAAAAAATATTTTTTCTTTTCATTTGTATAAATGAAACTGAAACTAATGCAACAACTCTGAGTCAACTCACCTGTAGGACATTCTCATAGAACTTATTCAAAGCCTGTAATGCAAAACAATCAATGTTACCTTAAAATAATTTAAGAACAATGATTTAACCTTGAAAAAAAAATTAATTAATCTTGTTACATACTTTGTCATAACCAGCTACAGAAGGCCCATGTTTGCGAGGAATTGAAGCTTCTATTCGAGAACGGGTTATGGTCACACTGATGTAAAAAAGAAATTTAAATAATTAAAAGATTAAAGATACAAATAATTGATTTTGAGTGTATATTGTAATTATTTTACCTTTTACCCACAAGGAGAATATGTGCCAATCCTTCTTGCATAAGCACCACTGCCAGATCAGCACTGGCAGAAGGATCTAAATCAAGAGAAAAAAAAAACCATCAGAGTGAGAAAAAAAAAAGATATAAACTTTGACTATTGTAAAATTACAAGAATGCACCTGCAGCTTGTTGAAGTGCATCTATGGTGAGAGAGTCCCATAACACCTTTCTTAACACAAAAGGTCGATGTAGTTCAATTTCAAGTGTATGAAACTGCCCTATCTGCATATGAAAAAAAATGAGGTAAACAAACTTGACCTGGAATATGCTAACATCCCACAGGGGTAAGGGTATTATAGTAAAATCACAGAACCTACTTTAACATGTTCGTTTTCTAGAATGTTCTTCCCACGTATTCTCAGTACAGCACCTTCCTTGTCATAATCAACATTCTGCAAAACAATTTCACAAATAAAAATATTGTTAACATATTTTAATATGACCTCATGACAATTCAGATGACATAAACCTACCTTACCTCAACTTTGATTTCAAGTTTTAGTTTCACACGTTCTGCTTCTCTTGATCCAGAAGCTGCTTCTCTAAGAACTTTTCTAGAACCACACAAAGAAATATAAAAACAGATGTTAGTTCCTGAACGAAAATTCTTATTGTTTTTTAAATGACTATATATAGCTGTATAGGATGTCATTTGATCAATATGAATAGAAATCTGGAAAGTGAAAGATGATAATGAGATGGTGAGATGAAGAAAATAGAGATAAAGTTAGCTGCTTACAAAAAGATGCCAAATTTTACTAACACAGTCAATAGAAATTCTGTCTATTTCACATGTGGATGTTGCACAATCACTCTAATCTTGAGAATATTTTAATGTTTAATGAAGTAAAATTGGGATTTATGTCGGATTAGCTGTTAATTTGATTATTGGCTGTCAATTTTAATTTTCCAAAATTTGGCAATGCCTGCCAAATCTAGCTCTACCCTATAATTCTATATAAAGGGTTGAATGTATACCTTTATAACACCTTAGAATTAATAAGAATCCCTTTGGGATTTATTCTTTTCTCCCACTAAAGTCTCAAACCTAGGTTCCTATTTGACAACTCGGCAGATCAATTAACGATTTGTAGATTACCTAACTAAACAAGAGTCTCAACCCTATGTTTGTATTTGACAACTCAGCATATCAATTGAAGAATTGTGAAGATTATACTACTGATGTATATGTAGAATACAATTCTTCGTTAATAAATTAGCTCAATCATATATCTTGCCTCTTGTAAAAAATCAAAAACCAATATTATGTCCTTGTATAGCTGTATATTTTCAGAACAATAACCAGAGAGTATAATGCCACCTATAAAATTATCTTTTATAGTTCCGTGTACCCTTCAACTACTAAAGACAAACCTGATTGTAACAGCCATGACAGTATCACCCGGCGCAATTAAATTATAAGCGAGCCACAAATCGTCTGATTCATCGGGAATCATCTGTTTTGAAAACCCAGTTCGAGTTAGAAGGAATGATGAGAGGATTTCCTCTTTATGTAATCGATGATGTAAAGAGGGTTTACCTTGACGCTGCCAGGGCCATTGGGAATAAAATCTCTGCGAACGATCTTCATCTCAACAACGGTTGTGCAGTTGTTTCGATTTTTCAAAGTATATATATGCTAGTCGCAAAGTGCAAACCCTTTCTTCAGCGTCAGAGGGGTAATATACTAATCGCAGTAAATTACAAAAGTAGTCCCTGTAGGATTGGTTATCGTGCGTGTTTAGTCCAGTCACTTTTTTGTACATCATCGACATGCTTGGGAGTTCACTTTCATACGAATTTGGTCCTAAAGCCGCCATTTTCAATGTATTTTGCTATTTTGCTAAATTAGTAAGAACTTTAAATTTAAATCATATACCCTAAATGATTCAAAGGTTACCAAACATCCCATTAGATTAGCCAAATATCCCAAACATGGAAAATAAAATAATTAATTTAATTCATACAAGATTATAAATGGTCAGACCAATGGGTTGAAGTCTGGTGAAGTTGGTCAACACGTTGTTGGGCCAGATCCCATTAATGGTGGGTTTGATCAAAGAAGGCCAAACAAGTAGAAGTGTCCAAAAAAACTCGTTTATATCCAAAAGTTGGCTTTCAAACCGATCCAATTTAAGGACTAATTTGATTGAAATAGGTCGGGTTTGAAACCAATAAGATTGTTTATATTGATTAGGGGATTTTACAATTGGAACGGGTTTGGGTGAAACCAATTTATAAACCGCAGTTCAAACCAACGATTTTCATTTCATATAGTAAAAAAAATATTATATTCATCCATTATTTATTTAGCTTTTTGTTTATACAAAGTCTTAGAGGTTTTCTAAGTCCGTCACCGAAAACTAATTGGGCAAAATACCAAAAAATATGTTTTTTTAAACTGGTTTCAATACATACCTATAGGTTTGGATATTTTGCTCGGAAACCTATTTGAAAACGATCGAGAGTTTTAACAAATCCGGTTTTTTGTTAACCAAAACCAATCAGATTTGGGAGGAAAAAAAAACGGTTTGTGCACCTCTACAAACAAGTAATCGACTTTTTTAGTTTATGTTATGGGGTTGAAAAGGTGGTTGATCAACTTGCTGGACCTTTCGTTGATTCTACTGGGCCACTTGCTGCAAGCAATCTTCCTAGGCTTGAAAAAAGTATCCAACATTTACCCAAAGATGCTGATGCTACTTATTGGGCTGTTGGCTTGTTAAAATTAAAAGGACAAGAATATGGGCCAGAAAATACGGGGCCAACTGTAGCTACTGATGGAGCACTGGAAGATGTCTGATTCTAGCAAAAGACCATTTAAAATACGATTTTTAAATGTATTAGAAAAAGTCCGATAAAAACATTATTAAAAATTATAAGTAGAAAGATGGTCGGCTTCATTCTAACAGCAAAACACACATGAACAACTTCAAACACACACACAGACAGATTGCTAACACACATCAGACAAGGAAACTGCAAGTTCTTTGTACACAGTTTAATCAAAGAAAATAAAGCTCTTCAAACAAACCAACTAAATTCTCAAGACCAAACCAAAGCAACAAGAATAAAGACTCATTAATTCAAGAAAGTGCAGATTATCTTGAAGACACTTAAGTTACTTGACCCCAACAATTGACATGAGGAACTTGAGCTTGGCATTCACTTCATCTCTGTCTGAATCTGAATCCCCTTTAAAAGATGCCGGTGGCTCCACACCGGTGAACACATACAGAGCCTTCAGTTCCTCCATAAATGTTGCTTCACTTGGTGCTTTGTATCCCACAATCGCCCTCATTGCCCCTATCTTTTCCCAGATCTTCTCATCTTCCAAAACATCCTACGATACATAGTATTACATAACCAAATCCTAAAGTTGTAAACTTTTACCTTAAACAACTAAAATCTTATAGAAAAAAAAAATGTAAGAATTTACTGACCTCTCTGGATGGTGTTTTTCTATCGTTTTTAGAGGTGACTTTAACATTGTCTGAATCCAATGGTGCATGTCTGAAACCAGGAAGTGACATGACATCCTCATTGTCATCCACAGTGTTCTTTTTCAATTCATCACCGCCTACAAGTTACAGGAATCAATCGAATAGTGTGAAAAAGGTAGAAAAGTTATTGAGCATTGTAGAGTAAATACCTTCAAGAATCTCGAAGTCGATGGTTGTGTTTCTTTTATCAAACAAATCCAAGCCACTCTCATCGCCAATCACTCTCGCACTCGCATCTTCATCTGAATGAACCAAATGTTCTTTGTTTGTTTTCAAGATGGCATCTTCACTTCCATCATTGGATGTTTTCTCCATATTTTCTCTCGTTGCTTTTGCATCAGACTCCTCTTTTCTGGTATCTCCAACCACTTCTCTTACCACCAGATCTAAGTCTTCAACTTCTCTTGAATTGAAATTATTTTCCTCATTTCCTTCAGCCAAAATCACAATTCTATGCATCTCCTCATGCTTACTTCCATCGTTTATAAGTTTCTGGGATTCAATCTCTTCGACTATAACCGTTTCTATCATCTCAACATCATCCTTGTTTTCTTCAAAAACTTCATTCGAAGAAGTACTTTCATGTCCATCGATTGTCCCTTCATCTCTTAATTTTTCCAATAATCCAGTACTTCCCTTCACTATCTCTTCCATTTCATCTTTGTTTACTTCCACCTTGTTTCTTTCTTCCTGTTCCTGCAAACTATCATCGTCTCCTTCCAGATACTCTCCATCATCTTCTTCATACCCTTGCTCATCCTCACCACTGGAGGTTGTGGTCGACACCTCCTGTGTCTGCTTATGCTCATCATCAGCCATCTCGATTCCTTCATTTATATCCTCCATTTGCTCTCTTTCCTCCTCTTCAATACCAGATTCTCTCTGTAGCACATCATCTTCATCTTCCCTTTCTTTTTCATCTTCATTCTCCTCCATTAGATCATGGTATTCCACTCGCACCACATTTTCAGGTCCATCTTCCCCTTTTTCTTCATCATCGGTATAATAACCTTTTTCATCCACATCTCCATCTACATTTGTTGCCAAAGCTTCCACTTCTTGTTCACAACCATTGGGGCTCTCAGTCCCTTCTTCTGTTTCCCAAATTCGTGCTTCTTCCTCCTCTTGTGTCACATTTTCCTTTCTGAGCTCGCCTTCTTCATTTTCATTGGTATAATCATCACCACCCTCATGTAAGTCGAACTTGGAGTCAACTTCTTCTTCATCTGGATAATACTCCAGCAAAAGTGGGGATACGGATGCTGGGGTGGGGAATAACTTGTTCATGAGCGAATTGGTACAGGCGTAGCTCGCATATACAAGCCCAAAAGGGACAGAAAAGGCAACCCCCATGGCCGAGAAAACTAAGAGTGGAGGAAGGACCAGAGGTGCAGATGACACGACAATACCAGTAACGACCATCTTCTTTCCAATACTGTATCCCTTGTTCAAAATCCATTTCACCATGGTGGTTTCACCTTCACCTTCTTTTGAAGGTGAATACTCTTGGATTGCCCATTCCGACTCTGGATCTGGATCTTGATCTTCCATGCTGACGAATTAAAACCAAGTAAAGTTCAATCAAATAGCCCATTAAACGTTATAAATATAATGTTAACATTATTGTTGGTGAACAAGTCATACCTATAAGAAACGATTACCCGGTTATTCTTTTCCCAACTGCATCAGAGTTCCTTTTTTCCATGAGAAGCAACTATGTTAGTTAATTGAAAGAACTTATCATTAGTAAACTCAATTGCACTTTTTCTGCACTAATTTTCACACAGAAATTGCTAATTTGAAAGTTTAAATCCAAAGAGGGCATGTATGTTACGTAAAATCAACAAAACCACGGAAATTTTGAAAATAAGACCAGAAATAGGATATACACCTGAGTGACGTTGATTCGTAAGCTTGCTGCGATTACGAAGAATGCAGATAGAGAAGTGTGAGTTGGTAAAAGGAAAAATGAGCATATGGGGTTTTGGAGAAAGTGAGAGTTGATTAGGTTGCGAAAAGAGATGACACGCGTTGAGAGGAGGGAAGAGGGAATGGTTGAATGCAGTGAGAAGGTGACAGGCGTCTCCATACCAATGACGTTGATGGCGTATGCACTATGCAGTGTCTTGTTGTATAGGAGTTATCGATTTCTTTATCTTCATTGTCCGTTATCTCTTTCCTTTACGAATACTTAAATAGATAGATCGGTCACTACTGGTCACGTTAGGTTGGTATATGACTTTCAATTGGTAACAGACTTTTTTTTCAATCGGTGGGTTGGTTGGAATTTTTAATTTAATGTGGTTTGTTATATAAATGAACTAATTTACTCGATATTCAATTAAATTACAGAAATACCACTATATCGACATGGAAGGAAAAATGAAAGAACTTATTTAGTTTTTCGAACAAATTACTAAAATAGTTTCTGTCATTTGTTAAAATTAAGTGTTTGGTTCCTAAAGTTTTTTTTTTCAATCAAACAGTACTTAAAATTTTGTTTTATTTCAATTTTGGTCCCTGACCAATATGAGAGTACTCTTTTACCCTTTTTGATTTGTTTTTTCACTTTCTTTATTATTAATTTTATGTTTATTAATAATAATAAATAAGATGACTCACTTCACAACCTTTTCTTCTCACATTTCTCCTAATTAACGGGTCGGTCTCTTTTCTTCATAGAAAACCCTTAACAATCTCTACCACCACCTCCCTCCACCATCATAACTTGTCACTGTCATCTCTTATGTGTCAACCACTAGAAACTACGACCAATGACTGCTAACCACCACCTACTACCATATCATCCCATCCCCATCATGGGAAACCATCTCCGTCCACCTCTCCATCGTCGGAGATGTCAGTGTCTTCCACTCTATCACACCGTCGCCACTTACACTTACCTCCCCACCGCTTGATGTTTCTTCTCTTTCCCCGCTATTTCCGTCGACGCAGCCCACTTCAAGAATCATTTTCTTTAGAAATTTTTGTGTCATCTCTGATCTGCTTGTTCATCGTCGCTCTGAACCATATCGACAAAGGCATTGGTGGATGCTACCTGGTGGTGCGAATCAGATCCATATCTAACCCCCCCCCCCCCAACGTCTTTCTCTACTGCAACTGTAACGACCCAATTTTCACGTCCAAAAAAAAAAATTTTAATTATTTTAATTAAAACATTCG